CAGTTACTTAACAATTTAACTGTTAATAAAAGTGTGAAATGTGTTATATTAGGTGTATTATGAAGTAATAATATAAATTTGCTCCAGAGGATACCTTTTATTTTCAACATCAGTGAACTAAGAGATCTTGAAAATCTATTTTATTTCAACTAAAGATTCCCAGTCATCCTGGTCAGGATCAGATGATTGATTTTGTTTGTTACCTTTTGTTTTTATTTTATTTAGAATTCAAGTTATGATCTTTTGCACGCTGATGCACATTTACATACAGGAAATGAAAAGACAAGTAGCTAAAAATATTTATCTGCACAGCATTAAATATATTTTCTGTCCTACACTACAGAATCGTTTATTTCTGAGTATCTTCAACATATTTAAACTTTTTTTGACAAAAAGACAAAACAAACTGAGACTTTTTGGCAATATAAACTTTCTGTGCCTTTTTATTTTACTATATATTTGACTATAGCAAATTAAATATGTTAGTGGTTTCCAACGTTGGGGTCAGGACTCCATTAGTTTTTACAAAAAATAAAAACAGAATTGGATGTGGATGAAAAATAAATCTAATTACTGATTCCAAAGAATATTTAATTGTTTTAGTGTTAAAACACTGTTTCTATGCAGAAAATACCACATGGAGCTCAGTAATTGGTAGCGATCCTCTTATTTAGTCGAAACCCAAAACGTTGAAGTTAATTACAGGTAGCCCTCTGTGAAAATGAGTTTGACACTCTTGTGTTGTAGCATTTATTTCTCATTATGTTTTTTTATTTCTTTTAAAATAACTCATTACAAAAGACAGTTGGCTCGTTCAGTTCTTGAGTCGACACTTATTTCAGAAAATCCATYTTATGAGATATTTTACTGACAGACAAACAGTCGACTGTAACAGGTTTAGGTTTTGAGCAAACACAATATAATTTGTTACTCTCCTGATGTTGAGGARGATGCTCAGTTACTACCGCAACAAATTTCAGTTTTAAKATCTTTAAAATAAACAGAATTTTCTTCAGTTTTTGCATCAGCTCTGAGCGGCCATCTTTAACTGAGGTGAGTCCAAAAGGTGATCAGACGTATCTCGATTACTTTCATTAAAGTTTGCTCAGAAGTTCATGAGATATTTAGTTTGAACTCAAAGTATATGTTGAGGATCAGTCTCAGCTACTACCACACCAGGTTTTAACTCCATAAGAGTTGTAGTCATTTACTCATCATCATTATACAACCTCATTAGCGTTACTGATAAAGTTTGTTTATTTTAGACATTAGATGAGGTCAGGATCAATCTMTGGGCTGAAAGCCAAAAGATCTCTGCCCCACAATTGTTGAAAATTYCCTTTTTTTTCTTACAGTCATCTCAGAAGTCTAATCTTAAGTTTATTATTATCTAAAGAGACGATTAAAGCAAAACAGAAGGTGGGTCTAAAAACAGGAAACAGTCATAAATACGGTATTTTTGTGGCCGACGTGGAAATAAAACTTCTGGTAAATGTGGCTCAGAGAGCTTGGCCTTACCTTTTGTGGAAATGCATTTGTTGACGATCAGGAAGATGAGGCTGATCACCAGAGAGAAAAAAACCATTCCGATTATCACTAAAACCCAGAGGTATTTGCGTAGAATACTCATGCTGGACATCTCGGATCAAAACAAAAAAGAAAAACAAACAATATATAAAAGAGAGCGAGAGAAGGAGGGAGAGAAAATATCAGTCACACACTTTGACATAGTAAATATATCTTGCTTTTTAGTATAGAAGGCTGGATCGGAAAGAAAAGCTTTGACCACTTCCTCTTTTAGTGCGTTGACGAAGTCTTAAGGTTATTTTGGTGTTCACATTTTGCTCTGAGAAGCTCAAACAAGCCTCCTGGCGTCTCTAGGAACTCTTCTTTTTGAGAGGAAGTCTGCTGCCTCCACTGTCAGCAGTAAAAAAATGTGACACACAGATAATTCTGCTGAATTACAGATGCAGAGCTGAGGTATCAGAGTCTGGAAGTGTTCATTGTAACCAGAACGACACATTTCTGTCCCAATATCTCTATGAGCAGATGGATGTAAATGCTAGTTTTTTTCCCCTGTTTATCTTCTTTCTGCCTCACATCCCCCTCAACCCACAACAGCTTCCTGACAACTTCCAAATACAAACACTGTTAGTTCACATGTAGSTCATTTGAACTCATTTCAAATGTGACTGGAACATGCCCTACCTCTTTAGAAAACAGCTGACAGTTTCAAAGTTGAGTTAAAATCAGGTGGAGGTCTCAGGGAGCWTGAGATGAAAGTGGATATCACCGTAAAGTAACTGTCATCCTGTTCTGAAACTCAGCTTCTGTGAAGAAAGCAAACTATCCCCACCCTCTGCCATGCTTCGCTGACCACATGTGTGTTTGTGTGACTGACAGAAAGTCAAACCTGCACAACTCTTTTTTTTATTTATAGTGCAATTCGCACTTAATTAATTTTGTTAGATTACAAACAATATTTTTGAGTTAAAATGACCTAAATGTTGCATCTAAATCCAACTTTAAATTTGCACTTTTTTAAAATCATTTGTCACAAATTTAGAGGTTTGAACCCAGGTGACACGAGGAGCTTGAATGAAAATGAAAAAAAAAAAAACATATTTAAAGGAAAAACAAAACAGCTGACGAGAAATTAAATCTGAGGAGACACAATGCTCAGCTGCAGAAGGAAGGAGAACTGAGTGATAATATGGACAGGGGCTGGTGAGTGGAGAGGAAACACCTGGCATAACTGGAGACAGGTGGAAATGGGCGGGGCCAGAGCTGAAGGAGGCGGAGCTGAGTGGCAGATGAAACAAAACAAGAAACAAAAATTAAATGTAAAAACTAACAAATATATATATATATAAAACCACGTCATTTTATTTAAATAAATTAGAAGAATTTGACATTGTTTATATTTGGCATGGCTCAGTTTGATGCTTCACTCTTTAGGGATATTCATAGATTCATTTTTGAAACAGCATGAGCTTTTTTAAGATTAATTTAAAATGACTACACAAATCATGACAACTTGATTTTGATTATTTAAAATGTGCTTGAAAATATTTGCTCTTATTTTGAAAGACGGCACCGGAAAATAAAGAAAGTTGTGTGGCTCATCGACAGCGCTTCTGCTGTTTTCAAAATAATAGCTTGAAAGCGCCAAGCATTATAAAACACATTTGTAACTTAACTATTACCTTTAAACATATCACATGGGTTATATTTTTGCATGTTCTATAGGTGTGTATTATAGTTTGTATAATAGTTCATATCAAACGGCCCTAAGCGCCCAAGGGTTGTGTTTTACTTTGAAACTACAACCGGAAGACGCTTTCTTCTCTCTCTCGCTAGCTTAACAGTAGTTGTGATGTTAGCCTGTTTTCTTGGACACTCCTTGCTCTTTTTCCATCTTTCTGGTAATATCCTGTAAGCCCTCCTTCGGAAACCATGGCCGAGGAGGCCTCGGGATCCCCTCCGTCCCACCATGACGGTAAATGTCCRCCGTTGGACACGTCGTTTCGGGGCGGGAGAGCTGAAGGTTGGCAGCCCTGATAGGCAGCGGCCTCTGCATCCTTGAAAACATTAGCCTGTTAGCATCATCAGGGCGACGTGTCACTGCTGTCACCGGCTGTTAATGACTATTTACTGCTACGCAGTGTGTGCATTTGTAAATACCTCTTAAATCAAACTGAAGTTAGCAAAGCTGTAAATGATTAAACCGGAGTCCTGTTGTCATATCTTAAAACGTTGTAGCTAGTAGCTTTGAGGTAGATGATTAATTTAATCCTAAAGTGGGTTTGGTCCAGAATTGACAGCCTATAACTCGGGTTTTGATGACAGAAAGACAGGGATGTTGCAAGCTTGGGAATTAAAATAGTTTTTTTTAAAGCTAGTTTTAGAGTTTATGGTAAAACTCAACAACATGGCTTTTCTCGTGAAACAAATTATTCTCAGAACATTCYTTATGCAGAATTTAAACTTTCACAATTTTCACAACTTATTTACTGCGATTTCTTTTGTCTTGCTGAATGCCAGGTATGTTTTTAAACCTTTGCATTAAAGTCCAGGGGAACCTGTTGGGCTTTCATAACGACACTAAATGCATAGCTGAGCAGATTAAATGCATTTTTTGTTGTTGGTCCAATTAAGCAGCTTTTATGGCATTTGTATTGGTAGTCCAGAAATGCAACCACAGCAGCTGTGATGTGTTGTTTACAATTCAAATCTATTATATTGATGATCAATAAGCTGCTGGATTAATCTCTTCCTGTTGAATGATTTCAGTTTATGTTAGGATCTCACAAACAACTCAACATTAATAGGTTTTAGTGGTTGCTAACTTGTGCTTCCCTAATTAATTAGGATAAACTAACACTGACAGCTAAGTAGATAATGCAAGGAAAGTAAAATGCGTTTTTGTCAGATTATATCAGGATATGATGCAGTTAAATGTACTTATATGAACATTGCACAATTTCTTTTTCTCATATTGATAGCTAACCTGTTGTTGACTGTGTTTGTTTACCTATAGAAGCAGCAGAAATGACTGAAAACAGGTGAACTTTAACGATGTTTTGGATGGAGAATTCTGACAATTTAGATATTTTGTTTAGGCTCAGATTTGTTGAGTAAAGCAGGCAGATGGAATGGTTTATTTACATTGAGTGCATACCTGCATTTCAGAAATGCATATCAATGTAGGCTCATGTATGCGTGGGTTTTCCCCCAGCTACTCTGTTAGGTTCTTCTGTAACTCTAAATTGTCCCTAGGTGGTAGTGAGAGTGTTATAGTTGTCTAAGTGTCCCTGTGATGGACTAGACTGGAGACCTGTCCAGGGTGTCCTGCTGGATGAAGGAAGGAAGATGTCAGTATACATATATGGAAAACTACTATTTAAAACGGCACCGTGTCTTTTGTGTTTGAGCTCTTTGTTGTGTTTTCTGCTTTAGCTGCTAAGCTGCATCAGTGCTTGCATTTTTTTGTCGACCTTTATTTACAGAGATTTTCTAATAAGATGTTTGTGCAGAAGCTTTTCAGGACAGTAGCTGTTACAGTAAAGTAAAAATAATTTGTGTGATGTTGCAAAGGAGCCCAACTTTGTCCTGGAACTCAGGAGGAATGGATGTGAATCAAGTGGTGGAATTTCTGCAGAGTTTGCTCAACAATCACATGACGCTGACCGAGCCGTGCTGAGCCATCCCGCTGCCTGTTGCTCCTAAATGTTTCCGTTTGTCCGTTTACATGTGTAGAATTTCCTCGGTGTGCTGGTTTTAAATAACGGATGAGTTAAAGTGACTGTGACGTGCATATCCATGAAATACAAAAAGGCAAAAAATATATATATTTAAGAAACTTGGCATAATACACATAATTTGACCCATCATGTCACATAGTTAGCATATTTTCTTTTGAATTTGGCTCAGCTAAAGTGAAACAGGAAGTGACATCAAAGGGGAACTCTTTGAGAAAGAAAACTCCCTGGTTTTTGCTTATTGAAACAATATTATTTGACCTATGACTCTTTCTCATCTCTCTATGATTTTGATTAAAATAATCCAAAGAAACATCAGATTCTTCTCTACAGTCTGTGCTGTTAGCCATTTTAGCAACGCTCTGTTTACATTCAGACATTCCCCTTTGACATCACTTCCTGTTTCTTCACATGTGAATATCTCAACAACTGTTCATCTCAGCGGCGTGAAATCTTTTTACAATATGTTATCAGTGTTACCTTTCCAAAAATATATTCATATTTATTGTATAAATTTGATGTCACAGGCTCTTTAAATCAATTAAATCAGGTACGAGCTGCTCTCCATGTGACTGACGACAACAGAAACTGATAGAACTGATCTTAATCAAGTAAAATAAACAAATTAAATTCGCAGGATTGTCTTGCTGAGTTTTCCTATCTTTAATTACATGCAATCAGCAGCTGATTAACACCACCTCTGCTTTTTTTTATTTTAAATTGTTATTGCTGTTTTTTGTTTTCTTCTTCGTCTAAGAGGTGCTCCAGCAGCGAGTGGCAGCTCTGGAGCAGGAGAGGACCGAGTTCATCAAACTCAAGCAGCAGCTGGAGACCGAGTTCAACCAGAAACGAGCCAAATTCAAAGAGCTGTACATGTCCAAGGAAGGCGAGTATCATAAAACAAACTGTGTGCATATTTGCTTTGATAAATCATTAACAAAAGTGCTGAGTTCTGCTAAATGATTTGCATAAAGTCAGGATTCTATAAAAACTGCATATAAACGAGCGGCTCCTCCTTCCCCGCTGCATCGTTTCACCCTTTGCGCTCGTTTTTTCTGTTTCCGTGCCATGTTTGATCCTTCTCGCCCCCCTTCAGGGGAGCTCAAGAGGCAGACCGTAGCGCTGGAGAACTACCAGACCGAGCTGAACTCCCTTCAGACCCAGCTGACCCAGGCCCGGGCCGAGATCGAGACCATCAAAGCCGTGGCAATGGTGTCGGAAAACACCAAGCAGGAAGCCATCGACCAGGTCCGCAGCCAGTGGCAGGAGGAAGTGGCTTCTCTGCAGGCCATCATGAAAGGTGATCTGGTGCTTGTGGAGCTCCAGGATGTTCAGCTGTGTCACTTAGTCAATTATCATTATTGCTGTTTTCTGGAGTCAGTGCTTTGATTATATGGCCACAAACACGAGTTCAGGTGGAGAGCAAGAGAAACTTCAGTGTCATAAAACCTTTTATAGTTTTTTATCACTGTTTTCTGCTTGTAGTTAAAGTGTGACTGAAGCTGCTTGGCTCTTTGGGGTTTAAACCCGTCTCACATGTCTGATTTATCGTTTTTTTTCTCCTCACAGACACTGTGTGTGAATACGAGGTCCAGTTCCACCAGCGCCTGGAGCAGGAGCGGGCCCAGTGGAACCAGTACCGAGAGGCGATGGAGAGGGAGCTGGGAGACCTGAGGCGGCGTCTCACAGAGGGTCAGGAGGAGGAGAACCTGGAGGATGAAATGAAGAAAGTAGGAATTTATTTTTGATTAAAGTTATTTTACCTGCTGTTTGTGTTCTTGTTTAGAAAGTTTTAGCTTCTGTTTTACTCGGACATGACGATCCTTGGTTTCGATTTTCTTGTTTTTCTGTCCAAGTTTAGAAAAAGAAAAACAAGATGAAGTCCAGAGAACAGATCATAATGTGCTGATGGACTGGGCCAGCTGAATGATTTACTGTCTGCTGACCAGAACGAAATGTTTTAGAAATATCCAGAGTTTTTAGGTTCATGGCTGCTGAAAGCTGCAGCTACTTTTAATCACTTCTGACAAAAATAAACCGAAAAACTGGATTTTCTGTAGAAATCCAGAGCTGAGAGCTGACTGGTTGCTGAAGCTGAAACAGAGATGTTAAAGTTAAAACATTAGCTAAAAGCCAAAAACAAAGCAAATGCTGGCTAAAAGCTAAAAGAAGCAGAGTGGTTGCTAAAAACTAAATGCATATATATCTTTATTAATTTCTTAAAAAAACAACATAAATTCAATATATAATTAAATAAAAATCATAAATAAATGAAAGGTAGCAGAAGAAGACAAATTCTTATATCTGCCCCCTTTTTCTCAGATAAATAAGTTTAATAAAAATAAACTTCTAAATTTAGCAAAAGGATAGCTAAAAGTTGAAAGTCAGAAAGACCCACCTAAAAGCTAAAAGTAGCAGAAATGTACTTGAGAGCTAAAAAATGGCAAAAGGCTAGTTCAAAATAATAGAATGATTGCTTAAAGCTAAAAATAGCAGAATGGTTTATAAAAGTAGCAAAACAGGACCTGAGAACTGAAAGAAGCAAAAGACAAAAGCTAAAACTTGCACAAGGCTAAAAGRTAAAAAGAGCTCAGGGCTGGCTAAAATCTAAAAGTAGCAAAATGCTAGCTAAAAGTTTAAAATATCAGAACTTTACCTGAGATCTAAACAAAACAAAAAGCTAGCTAAAAACTAAATGTAGGAAAATGTGTTTGAAAAGCTTAATATACGAAATGATTACTAAAAGGTGAAAGTCAGAAAGACCTACTTAAAAGCTAAAAGTTGCAGAACTGTACCTGAGAGCTAAAGACAAAAGGCTAGCTGAAAGTGGCAGAATGGTTGCTAAATGTAGCTAAACCAAGCTAAAAATAGCAGATTGTTTTATAAAAGTTAAAAGTAATAAAACAGTACATGAGAACAAAACAAAATGCTAGCTAAAAGAAGTATCAGAACAGTACCCGAGAACTACAAGTAGCACAAGGCTAGCTAAAAATAGTCTCAGACGATAATAGAGATAGTTTATTGAAGCAGGTTTTGAAGGAACTGAAAGCATCTCGGTGTATTTTAGCAGCGCGGTGGCTCAGAGGTTAGCGTTGATGCCTCACAGCAAAAAGGCCCTGGGTTCTGTGCCTGGTTCGAACCTGGGGTCTTTCTGTGTGTAGTCTGCATGTTCTCCCTGGGATTTCTCCAGGTCCTCTGGTTTCCCCCACAGACCAAAAACAGGCACAATAAGTTTCTAAAGAGATCTGTGTTCTCAGTGGGAGATGCCTGCTTAAATAAAGGCTAATAAATAAATAAATTCTGTGGAGAAAATATTTATAAATCATCTCCCGAACCAGCTGAACATTTTATGACTGGCTTAAATAGCACAAAGTCTTTAATTCAAACAATTACTTCCAAATAACTCTGTTTAAAACATCTAATACAATTCTTTATCCTCTGTTGGGTGCCAATTCCTGAGTAAAACTAGCTAATAACAGTTCAGCTCAGATTTATATAAAGCCTTTAGATTTGAGCTGAAATGCCATAAATAGAAGAAACATCCAGAACCATCAGATTTTTGCCCTCCACCCACACCACCTTCACTCATCCTGTTCTGTGGAGGACGAAGAAGAGAAGAAACTTTAGAGGAGAAAATACAGAAACAGTCTGCAGCCCAAATAATCTGATGGATTTAAGCTATTATCAAGGTTTTAGCCAGAAGCAGTTTTCTGTGACGGAGCCGTTCATAAAGCTTTGTGAGACTTGAGTCGGTGCTAAAAATGTAAACATTGAAAGCCCGAGGAGAATGACTCAGTTGTTTGTCGTCACGCTGGATTGTTTGTAAAGTTTCTGTGAAGACGAGTAAGTTCTGTGTTTGACGTTGTGACGGTCTCTTCAGGCCCAGGAGGACGCGGAGAAGCTCCGCTCCGTGGTCATGCCCATGGAGCAGGAGATCGCCATCCTGAAGGCCAAGCTGATCGCCGCCGAGGAGAGGGTGAAGGAGCTGGAGGCCTCGAAGGTGAGTCAGCAAATAAAGTTTAAGAGGTGGCGGATACAACGGCTTTATGACTTTTTAAAATTATAAATAGATTTTTTTTGTTTTTTTATTGTGTGGGAGCCTCTCATTAATCATTTAAATAATTTTATTACAAGAAGATAGTATTTCTACAGTTTAACTTATGAGTTTAGTCGAAAACGTCGTGCCAATTTTTCTTCGAAGGTTTATACAAGCTGTGATTTGGCTCGAAGTGAAGCTGTTGTGAAATTGCCTTGTTCCAAAAAAAAAATCAGCTTCTATTATGAAATAAAGTTTAATGTTTTCTTTATGGTGTCATTAGCTCATTTTACTATCTCTGATTGTTTCACCGATTGTCATTTACAACCTAATGTTAATAATAAACAGATATTAGTCCATATGTTTCTATATTACTCAGCTGTTTTCAACCAAATATGGAGTCTTCTGGCTCCACAGTGACTCAGGCTCTCCATAGTCACTTCTATTTTAAAGATTCAGGAAACAAAAGGTTGTGCAAATCCAGATAAAACATTTGGCTTCCTGTTGATGAAATGGGTTCTCTTTGTTCCAGAAGCCTGAAGCAGAATAACCCAGAGCTTTGTGGTTGTTTGTTTTTGTGTTGTTTTTGGCAGGTGAAGGAGCTGAATCACGTTCTGGAGGCTGAGAAGTCGTGTCGTACGGACCTGGAGATGTACGTGGCCGTGCTGAACACCCAGAAATCCGTCCTGCAGGAGGACGCGGAGAAACTGCGAAAAGAGCTTCATGATGGTACTTTTAGGTTTTTTTTATGGTTTTATTGAACAGCTTATTAAACATAAAATACATTTTCTTTTTATAACCACCCCACCCAATACAAATGCAGATTTTAACAGATAATCATTAAATAAGAGATCAGTGAGGAGTCCACCTTCTTCATTTGATCCGTTTGTCAAACATGAAATAATTTGTAGGCACATCTTCTTGCACCTGATTTTTTTTCATGGTCACATTAAAGGGTCAATAAAACACATTGTAAAAGTTGGAGGGGACTTGTCTTTCCATTCAAGCAGCTTCACCCTCTATATAAAAGAGCAATAAAGGCTACAAGGATTTATTTTGATTTAAGTAAAAATGCCAAATACAGAGATTGTGGCATCTATGATGGTCCCCAGTGCCTCAGAGATGAATTTAAATATAAAGTGCCCAGCTCAGTTTCACATCCTTCACACTGAGGATTTATGTCTGGTTAAAATATTGCCAGTTTTATTTTAGACCAATGCAATTTATGAACAACTTTAAACTCTATCTCAACGCTTCTATGGAAACTCTTGGGTCAAGGCTGCAGAAATTGTCCATCTAACCAAGTTTTACAAACTTATGTCAGCCAAAAAAGTACTTTTGATTTGTTTTGAGACTGATAAACAGGAACAGAACATGAGATTATTAATCTTAAATGAAAAGATTGTAACTTTTCAAACTGGAAAAAACCACTCTGGAAGCTGGGGTGGGGGCAGGGCGTGAAGCGCCTCACTTGGATTTAAAGAGACAGCCTCAAAACGAGTTGATCTGAGAAAAAAATCTCAAAAGGGATGGAAGAGTGGCTTGTGGAGTTACAATAAGGAGGAATTCAAAGCAAAACATTGCAGTTCCACTTTATATAGACCCCAACTGAAGGGTTTAAATGTGAAAAAGAAYAATTTAAAACCATCAAATGTCTCCTTTTAAGTGAAATTAATCGTTAGGATAATTGTCTTCATGCAACACGTCTTACAATAAACACCCAGTTTCAGCTTTTAGTCAACTTTTTGAGGATATTTTTGAGTTTTGGCTGCTTCTACAGTCACTTTGTTGTTGCAAATAAAAATAAAACAGTCTTTTGAGACAAAAATAAAAGCGTGTTCTGGAGGATAATGTTATTCTGTATTTGGATAAACACTGGAGCGGCACAGATGAATGTAACGACTTTAGTTGAGTCTTTTAGATGTGACTCATGTAAACTATTAATGTCTAATGCATATTAAAGCTGATAGTTTGGAGTGCTTCTGCGTGCCCTCCTTCACGCCTCTCTGCTGCTTTCAGTCTGCCACAAGTTGGAGCTGGAGCGGCAGCAGCACAACCAGCTGAAGCAGACGTGGCAGCGAGCCAACGACCAGTTCCTGGAGTCCCAGCGTCTCCTCATGAGGGACATGCAGAGGATAGAGAGCGTGCTGTCCTCAGAACAGCTCCGCCAGGTGGAGGAGATGAAGAAAAAAGACCAGGTGACAGCAGCTCCACACGCCTACGTCCACATCAGGTAGTAAAGCTGGTGTTTTGACTCAAACARGACCTCGGGGTGTAAAACACGAGATCTGTCGGCGCTTCAGTGTTTATGAATCCACGCCGGGGGCAGCTCGGGTCAAACGGGACGAAGCGGTTCCAGGAAGTGGAGGCATCTGGTGGAGCAGGACTGATGATGTCATCTTGTTGTGTTGGAGGGGGCTGGATTTGTTTAAGATTAACAGCGCAGAGGTTTTGTGGTGAACTTTCACTAAATTATTTAGAGCGCTTTTTAAAAAAACTATTTTTCTCTTATTTTGTTATGTGTCTTTGAATCACAGCTGGAGTTAAATTACATTTTGAGCTGTTTTATTTTTACTTTTTTACTTTATTGAGATCTTTTTTTCTTTCATATGGTTTTCAACATTTATCCAGTTTCACAATTTTTGTGCTATATCAACTATTTATAGTTTAAAGTGTTGAGCTCCTTCAGGACATTCCTGCTAAGACTTTGTGTTCCAGCAGTTTATACTTTGTGAGATATTAAGCTCCTCCTGTCATTTTCTTCTCATTGAAAATGAATGGAGCTGTCTTCAACTTCCTTAAAACCTTTCAAAATGTTCATAAATCTTTTATCTTTATCTTTTAACTTTTTATCTTTTGCTTTGGTTTTGCTTTTTATAACTAATTTCTTCTCATTTCAGCTTCATTTAGCTGATTTTAGCTTTTTTTGCTTTTTAGCTATCATTCTGACCTGCTAATTTAAACTTTTTATGCTTTCAGCTGCTTTCAAATAATTTTTTAGCTACATTTTAGCCACTTTTTCAGTTAACTTTGTTCAGCTTCTTACTTCCTGACTCAGTGAACATGCTCTTTCTGTTCTCCGTGCTAATTTCAGCTACTTTTTAGGCTTTTTTAGCTATTCAGCAAAAATATTTCAGCGTTAAGAATTAAACTGCATTTTTGTAGGAAATTCAAATCCTTTAGTTTTAGTTAATTTTGATAACCGTTGATCCTAACAAAACATGTTAACTTCATAGGTAATTTTATTTATTTTAAACCATCAATCATTCAAATCTTGCAAATAGAATCTATTTAGTTTAATCTGACATATTTACACAATAACCTGAAGTTTGCACTTTCTTATTTATTAAGAAATCATGTTCTGAACTACAAGTTATTATTTTATTTTATTTAACAAAGAGGAAAAGTCTAAAGGTTGTAATGTTTTTTATATAGCAGTGAATTTAGCTCTAACAAAAATAAATTCATGACCAGAAACAATTTCCCATTTCCTGTCAATAAAACCTCTGAATCTGTCTGTTTGATAAACTAAAATGTAACAAACTGTAATGAAGGTTCTGTTTTTTGAAGGAGGAGGATGAAAAGGAGCGTCTGAGCCTAGTGAAGGACCTGCAGGAGGACGACGGAGGAGACAACACCGAACCTTTGGAGGACTTCCTCGGGCTGAGCATCGAGGAGGTAAATCATGTAATCTGATGCTTCCCTCAGAGGCAGCAGCTCTTTGCGTTACGTCATGTTTTATTCCCAAAGTGTAACGTGAGCCTCACCTTCACCTTCGTCCTCGTCTGCTGTGCTTCCTGCAGCCTGAAACAAACAAAAAACAAAACATTTCTGTGACTCAGCTGCGCCTAAAATATTCAGAGATTCAGGCAGTTTTATTTCCATCACTCAGGAAAATGTGTTTAGTGTTGTAAAGTGGAGTCATAGAGCCAAACTACAAGAATAAAGTCATAATATTACTAGAATAAATTCACAGTGGTTTGCGAAGTTGTGTCAAAGTCCTGCTTCTGATGTCTTAAGAGTAAATATTAATTTATAAAACCAATACCAAAGTGTAACTTCACAAGATGCTCAACATTCCTCATTTTAACGCAGTGTGAGTTCTCATATTACAACTTTATTCTTATTATTACAACTATGTTTTATTTTTATTATMACTTTATTCTGATCTTATGATTTTATTCTCATATTATTACAACTATATTTTATTATTATTACGACTTTATTTTTGTAATTAAAAAAATAAAATCTCTCATTTTGACCCGAGTAACACGTGAGATAAAAAATMATTCTCTTATTTGGTAAAGCCTGGATTCTGGCTTCCACATGGATATTTATCACTTCCTGTTTATGAAAATAAAAGTTTTTAAAAACTTCACAGCCTTCATTAGACCACAGGAACCTTTTCTTAGTTCTTGTAATGATTTCTGGAGTGCTTTCTGATCATGAGAACCTTTTTTTTAATTGTTGTAACAAAGTCTGGTAGTTCCTATGCTTTTATTTTTGCATTTGTACAGACTTAAGTGCTTTTGTTTTTATATATCAAAAAAGCAATGTTTTAAAAAGCATTTTTTTTACCTTCATGTTGCACATTTTTCAGATCATAACAGTTTATTTTTCTCTTTCAGCCTCACACCAACCACAGCGCCCACGGTTCAATGCACTCGTTAGACACCGACATCGTGGCCGGGGGCCCCATGGACACCTACAGGGACAGCCTGCGGAGAGTCCAGTCCACGGACAGCCTCGGGTCCTCGCTGTCCTCCCAGCAGGGGCTCAGCGGTCACAACCACAAGGCCAAGTCGGCCAGCAACTTGGACGAGTCGGACTTTGGTCCCCTGGTCGGGGCCGACTGCGGGGCCGCGGACATTAGTTTTGGCGAGACCTCGTCCATCAGCTCCATCAAGCTGACAGCGAGTCACTTCCTCCTGACGAAAGACCAGGAGAAGGCGATCAAAGCCATGACGCCGGAGCAGGAGGAGACGGCATCGCTGCTGTCCAGCATCTCTCACGCTCCAGACTCCGCCTACTTACCGCCGGCGGGGTACCGGCTCGTCAGCGACACCGAGTGGAACCTGCTGCAGCAAGAGGTGTGTCACAGAGCTTTACCATCCRGGAAATCACACTTTCCTCCTCATCTGAACACATAAACTCAACAAATTAAACTCGGCGCTGTGGCTTTCAGGTGAAAAACGCCGGCAGGAAGCTCGGCCGACGCTGCGACATGTGCTCCAACTACGAGAAGCAGCTGCAGGCCATTCAGGGACAGGAGGCGGAAACGCGAGACCAGGTGTGTGCCGCTGGGTTTACGGCGCCAGCCYCGTGCTTCTTGTTCGACGCCATCAAAGGTGTGACGCCTGCCATGTTTTTTCTCCCTCCAGGTGAAGAAGCTGCAGGCGATGCTCCGTCAGGCTAACGACCAGCTGGAGAGGACGATGACAGAGAAGCAGAGTTTGGAGGAGTCAGTGAAAGCAGGGAACGAGGAGACCGCCGCTAAGGTCTGTGCGATATGAAATTATAAAATATTAAAGCAGCTGGTTCCTGGTTTAGGACTCAGGACCGTTCTGCTCTGAGTATCTTCTGAGCTTCCACAAACAGACAGATGTTTTGGTGGGAACTCTGTTCCTGGTGAAGCCACGAGGATAAGAGAGTTGTCTCTAGATTTTGTCTCGTTTTTGTGTCTCTGTGATGGACTGGAGACCTGTCCAAGTGTCCCCCGTCAACAGGGGTTATGAAGKGATTAAAGAAAAATAGGATAGATGTTGACAAACACAGCAAACTCTTCCCTACAAATATTCATCTAAATACTAAATGTGAGCCYTCGCATTGAAACGAGGATTCAGTCTAAAAGATGTGGAGAAATGGGCAGATATAGTGTTTTGATTAAAACGCTTGCAAAAATAACATTTTGTCAAATTAAAGCAAATAAATGTGCTATTAATGTATCATTTCAATGAACTTTCTGAAATATTATACTAAAAAAATTTTTTGAAGCACTTTTTTGAGCATTAGCAACAAAAAACCTGATTTTGAGGAAAAACYCCTTAAAATGTTGAGATTTTCCTTGTGAGCTATCWAAGTTTTTGTTTCTTTCCAGCTGGGAAATCTCAATATTCAAATATTATTTGAGATTTCTTTTTTCAAATGACATAAAAAAATCCTATTAAAATTACATAAAATTATGATTTAGACCAAATATTTGTGTATTATTGTAACAACAAGACAAATTAAATAATCTCTCTGGATCTACTAATGAAATCAGGATGATCTAAGTATCAAAATGTAGCTTTTAAAGCAGGAATCTGAAAACATGATYAGGTAATTTTGAACAAATTTGACTTAATCCTTGTTTTGATGTGATGGGTCACAAATTATCTTACTGGTTAACTTTAAAACATGCTTATTAGTTATATTAATTATCATGTTTTTTCAGTCTGATTGGAGTGTCCAGGCATTACCAGAGTTGTTTTTTGGTATTTTCTTTGCTTACTAGCATGGATTTGCTTGCAGAGTGGCTGCACAGAAAAGGCAGGACTGCAGTTTTTCTCCACACCACTGCTCCCCGATCCCGAGGACAGAGTGTCGATTGGTCTTTAAGAATAATCACTTTATTGTGTTCAGGTTTAAGAAGTTTAGGTTTCTCAGCTGTCGCTGCTCGAGCTAACAAAGGTCACGTGTCGGAGTCCTGGAACTCTGTTCCTCTTTTGTCGCTGTTGGTTTTTGTCTGACGGTGCAGAACCTCAGTGGGAGCCAGGAAGCATCTGTCGTCTTCACTTTTGAGTTCATTAACTTCCTTTTTGTTGAGGATATGAGCTCCGTTTGCAGGTGCATCACCTAAATAATAAACACAGAGATGATGTTTTCAACTGTTTAGATCTGCTCCAAACCCATGATGTTGTCTTGTTACACTCGCTGATTGAATTAAAATATCACATTAAATGTAAAATAATGTAAGAAAACAAAGTTTGTTTGATTGAAACCTGTGCAGCAGGTGAGGAAGCTCCAGGTGCATCTACTCTGCACTATTTGGTGACACGTTAGGTCTGCTGCTGTGTTAAATATTAAACGGTGTTTCTCAGGACAAATGCAAAAACAAAAACATAAAAGTCTGTCCGTTCCCATCAGTCTCCTCTCCACATGCAGCAAATGGCTGGTTACCATGGAAACAGCAGGATGACTCATATTTTCTAGCAGGTCAGGGAAAATTGGAGCCTAAAGCTTCATATGTCTTTATTTACATCAGTGGAGCCCGATCCTGGTCCTGCAGGACCACCATTCTGCGTGTTGTAGTCGTTTCCCTGCTGTCTCGATTTGTTAGAATAAGGTGTGTTGAAGCGGAGAAACATAAGTTATTTCTGCTAAATATCAGATTTTAAATGTTGCTGCACAGAACTGTGGGGTGGATCCTCCTGCTSTTCTTTCCTTTCATGATGCTGCTTTGTTTCTCAAACTAAAGGAGAGTTTAAAGTGCCTATGACTTCAGATTTATGTTTTACATATAAATGAATTTTTAGGAAAGATGATATTAATCATGAATTGTAAAAAAAAATCACACTGCTGAGATAAACAGTTGAGGTATTCACATGGGCAGTAACAGGAAGTGATGTCAAAGGGGAATGACAGCATGTAAACAGCGTTGTTACGACAGACTATCGAGAAGAATCTGATGTTCCTTTGGATTATTYTTATCAGAGAGAAGAAGTAGAGTTCAAATAAGATTGTTTCAATAAACAAAGACCAAAGAGGTTTTTTTTGTCTAAAAGAGTTCCCCTTTGACGTCACTTCCTGTTTCACTTAATTGGTAAAATCCTGTGTATTGTGCCAGTATTAAAAAAGGAGTTTTTGCCTCAGGGAGCTGGAGGTATCATGGTGTGAAGAGGGCTGGTTTTAAATAGGARGGGAGGAGACGATGTTATCACTCTTTGTTAATTACCCGTGTGTTTGTTTATTTTTTTTAACAATGTGTTTTCATAAAACTACAGCCAAGTTTCTCAAACTGTTCCCGTCTCCATGCCAAGAATCAGGTTTCTTCTGTCTAACAGATTATTTTGCTCACACTTCTACATGAACTAAAGCTTGTTAAATAGTGTGAGAAAGTCTTTCCTTTCATCTGACCACAGTGTGAAGACGCAAACTATGTTTCTCTAGTCTGTTTTTTCCCTCTATGTTTAAAGGTTGCTGCCCTCATGCAGAGAGTCCAGGAGTCAGAAACGCTGCTCAGCACACTACAGCAGGCCTTCAGCGAGGCTAAAAGGAACACGCAGGAACAGATGGTGAGCGGTGGCGTCCCTGTTTATTCCTCTGCAGCCTGTTCAGAAAACACCGGCGTCTTTTCTTGAAAGCAAAACGCTGCTCGCTCGCAGCCGAGGGAAGTGGCAGCTGGTGGGTTGCAGCTCGTCGTTTGGTGTTTATGTCATCATGATGGCGTCCTCATGGTTCTTCACAACCAGAAACATAAGCTGACAAGATGGAGCTCGTGGCTTAGGGATATTTTTATTATAAAACCTTCATTTCATTCAATCAGGCTTTATTTATAGAGTCCTATAGAGAAGCAAGAAATACACAGCAAGAAAGGGTAGTAAAAGTAGATAAATACTACAAGTAAAACTGGTTAAAAGTTATAAATAGACAATTATTTATATCGGATCAAAAGGGTCTTGAAATGAACACATTTATCATCAGCACTTTACTATATTTTTGTTATTTTGTAATATTTTATTTTAGTGTGTTCAATAATTCTACAAGAATGGAAACGGTAATTGAAACAAGGTAAAAATGGCATCAACCAACAATCCTAAAATTAGGTTTCTTATTAAAAAAAAGTAGGTGTTATCTTTTTTTTTATGATTAGATGGATTGTTTCGTTCATTCTGCAGCCTCGTAACTCAAATAGATAAAAAATCTTTATGAAATAAAACGGTTTTCATAATAAATGTACTGCTGCGTTTGTTTATGTTAGACGTTTTGCAAACATAATTTTTTTTCCAGGAATAAATCAAGTTTTAAGTTGTAAAATATTGTGAAAACACAGACACCGGTTGGTAAATTCGTCTCAGGCCTCTGTCGAAACACTAGCTCACTAGAGTGAGCTGGAGTGGTTTGTGTTCAGGTGGTGCTGGTGAAGTCGAGGGAGCGGGTGGCGGACGAGCTCAGTCGACTACAGAGAGACAACGAGAGCCTGCAGGGAAAACACCGGCTGCACCTCGAGCTCCAGCAACAAGAGGATTTCCATATGCCTCATGCTGTGCAGGTAGCCTTAAGGAAGAAAAACACATAACCATGGAAATAATTACACGTAGAGTCAGGAAATGTGGTCAGTTTGTCCTCCAGGAGTCTGACTTTTTAGCAGCAGAACTAAAGGATAACTCAGGAAACCCTAACTATAGGATTTATCAAAAAGGAAAGACTGAAGTCGAGTCTTAAAAGTAAACAGAGTGTCAGCGTCATGGACAGAAACAAAATAAATAAAAATAAACAGAAATAATTAGAAATACAAACATGGAGAGTAGAGCAGGTAAAAAGAAGCTATAGCAGCAGAACTAAGGGATACCTCAAGAAACCCAAATCAACCCTAATTATAGGATTTATCAAAAAGTCTAGTCTTAAAATAGATGGATTGTCAGCCTCACAGACAGAAACTGCAAGTTGAACCCTGACAACTGAAAACTCTGGCTCCATTTTAGAATCTCTAGGAACTACAAGTAAACCTGCAGTCTGAGAAATAATATAATAAATAATAATTTGTGCAATATTTGAAATGTAGCATGTATCAATAATTTAGAGGGTTGGCGTCATTTGTTTGCTTCTAGAATGAAAAAAGATGACATTGTACATCTTATGTGTTTTTATTAGTAGAGTGTCTGAAGATATTTTTGGTGCCAGTTTAGGAAATACTGACAGAAAAGTTGGGGAAAGTGCATGACCAAATTAAAAAAAAAAGCTCAAATTTTGACACTTTTTAGCACTTTTTATGGATGCCAGCTGTAAATAGCTTCATAAGTTCAATAATAGTTACCTTGATTTAGTTAAGCAATCGGTTTTTAACATTTTGATACAAAAAAAAAAAAGATCTGAAGCAAAAGATTTGGCGATTATGGTCAGATATTATATAGACATAGTCAAAGCCATGATTTTTAGCATTAATTTTGAATTCTGACTTGACTTTGTGTCCAGGAGAAATTTTGTAAGAAATGGGTTTTTTACACCTGGAAGGGATGTACTTTAATGGGGTACCATTGAATTTTCTGTTTTATGCAGATAAACATGGTATATCTCTTGGACTATAAGAAAATATTGATTGATAAGATTTTTCATATAAGATGGATCTGAAATATTAAAAAATGTATCAAAAATAAGGTTTGGTTCCAGATTGTCAGCGGTGTTGTGCGTCTTTCTGTCTGGACGCCCTGTAGGACTTGATCTTACATGAGCTGTAATAAAAAGAATAAGTCAGTATTTGTGTTTTGATGATGGCTGAAGCGCAGCGCGATGGTTTCTGCAGGAGCTGCAGGGCTTGGTGCTGCAGCTGCGTGACGACACGGTGGCGCTGCGGACGTCGGCGGATCACATGGAGGAGAAGCTGAAGGCTGAGATCCTGTTTCTGAAGGAGCAGATCCAGGCGGAGCAGTGTCTGAAGGAGAACCTGGAGGACACGCTGCAGCTGGAGATCGAGGGCTGCAAGGAGGAAATAGGTGAGAGTCCAGGACCGAGCTCCGATCAGCTGTGGGGCGACAAACGTCACTTTTTTAACAGAAAATCAGCTCAACTTTTAAAATTTCTTCTTGGTTTCTGCTTTTGTTTTGTCTCGACTGATCACTGTGTTACAGACATCTTGGAAGGTATGAAAAACTGCGTGTATGTGTTTTAACATCGTTAGCATTGCATCAACGTAACACAGAGCTTGTTTTTCTCTCACATGTTCGTAAAGCCACAGTAGATGTCAAAAACCACAACTATTCACTGTTTTTAACTTAAACTTTTATGCTTCTAACACAATTTTTACATCAATAAATGATTATTTTGGCGGATAATGTTACTAACTAATCGGGGTTAGTTAGAAAACAAAATAGTCCTTATGTTTTAGATAGACTTTTTTTGTTTGTTTGTTTTGCTGATAACGATCCTGTATAGGTGAGGAGGGTTTGGTGGTTTTTCTGTGAAACAGAATCTAAATTGTTATCTGTACTTCTTTTTATGCTTCTAAGAGAATTCTTTGTCCTTTTTAGTTCTTTGTTTTCAGTTTTATGAAAAAAACAACAACTAAATTAAACCCATTTAAAGTCTTTCTGATCTGCTCTCCTTCAATGTTTATTTAAAAAACTAATAAAATCCTGGGCTACAGCTATGGTTTGCGATTATCTTTGTTTTTCTGTAACTAAATAATTTCAAATGGATTTGAACTAAACTTTATGAATACGAACTAACAGAATAACTAAAAATTTTAATAAATTTGAACTGTTTTAGTCACTTAAATTCATTTTTACTGTAAAAATCAGAGTTTAAATTAATTTTCTATGAAATAATATCCTGACCCTGCAGGTGATGACTGTTTTTTTGTCTTTTTAAAGCAAATAAGAGGCCATATAGTGATTAAAAAACTGTAGCGTCTTGTGTTCCTTTTYTTTTTTCATCAGTTTTGTTTTGATCTTTTCTTGTCTTCAACACGAGCAGAGCACACKGTCTCTCAGCTCTGTTGCACTGGTCTGAACAATAAATTTTTTAGGATGCAGATGAGTTGTGTGTTCATCTGAACATCTCTGTTCTCCACAGCGTCTTTCTCCAGTCTGAAGATGGAGCTGGAGAGAATAAAGGCAGAGAAGGAGCAGGTATTTTTATTTTTTTACGCCTCACAAAGTGGTAGGAAAGCAGCTTCTTGTTCTTATAAATATATTTAAAAGAAGCTATGTTGTTTTTATGGACTGGTTTTGATTCCTCTTGTGCTTTGAATAAGTCAGAAGAAGCTGTCCTGCTCAAACTGTGTGTTATCATTAATGTGTGTGTGTGTAGCTGCAGAGCAGTTTAGCTGACATGACGGAGGCTCTGGAGAGCATTCAGAACCTGAAGACGAGCCTGGAACAGCAGCTTAAAGAGGTCACCAATGCAAAGGTCAGTGCAGGGTTTTAGAGTTATCAAACTCTGACTGGAAGTAAAAACATAATAATCACTGAAATGTAATGTTTTATAGCCTCTAATCCACCGTTGCGCTGTTAAAGTAGTTTGTTGACAGTCGTCGACTCCATTTATTCAGTTCTTTGTGTTRGTTTGCTGTAGAGCGCGCTGGAAAGTCAGGTTCTTGATGAAAAAGACAAAGCCCAGCGGCTGCAGACGGAGCTGGACGTCAGCGAGCACGTCCAGAAAGACTTTGTCAAACTGTCTCAGACACTTCAGGTGAGCAGGAATTACAAATTTATATTTTAATTATCACAAGCCTCTGCAAGGTGAAGGTGGTGGAAAATGTTTTCGCTTTTTTGTTACCTTTTTAGGATCTTTTCTAGGATCAAATATTCCTGTCTTGTCAGGACCAGTTGTCCCTAAAGGATCCAAATCCTGGTCCTGACACGGTGGAATGCCATTTTTGGGTTAGATTTAGAGTCAAACTGTGAAGGAAGAATTTATGGTCAGGGCTTTATAAAGATAGAAACATAAATGTGTCAGCCTGCAGTTGAAAATACAGATAGAGGACAACAGAGCTGCTTCGGAGCTGATGCTAACGCAATAGATTATTTTTTAAACATTCTCTCTACTATGGCTGAATATGTAGGTTTGCATTACACTCCATGTGTGACACTGTACAGTTTTTTCTTTTTATCTTCTTTTGACTTATTTTATTTCTTTATTCGTTTATTTATTTATTTTTGCTGACAACTGTGACCTCAGTATAAGTGTATACTGTATATGTATGAATGTATAAATGTATAACATTAGATTCAAGCTAATGCTATATAGTTAAATACATATTAGCTCAGGAGCAAGCATGTTGTCATTTATATATATATATATATATATATATAAGCTTTAAGCTAATGCAATTTAACCAAAAATATATGTGTTAACTCAGGAGCTAACGCTATATCACCATATATATTTATTTGCTCGAAAGCTAATGCAAGGTAAAGGCTAACCCAGTGTGCTTTGCAGCATAAATAATACTGCGACATTCAAGTGTCAAATGATGTTTAATGTTAGAATGAGATCCCTTTAACATTTGGAGTTGATTCAACTCAAGATGGTCGCCCTAAAATGGCTTCATCTCAGTCATTTTTAGAAATCTTGGCTAAGGTTTGATGCGGAATCAGCTGAGAGTCWTCCTCAATGCGTTCTCCGAGCTCTAACGGGTCACAGGTATGAATCTGTGCATGTTTCTGTTCTCAGGTCCAGCTGGAGCGGATACGACAGGCAGAATCTCTGGACCGGATCAAAGCAATCCTCAACGACACCAACTTGACTGACATCAACCAGCTTCCAGACACATGATGACCTCTGAGCGGTGACTGCCCTCAGCTTCACCCCCCAACCTGCCTCTTTTCTCTTTCATCGGCCCGGTAACCTTATTACTCGACCTTCCTCCTCCTCCTCCAGAACCACTTTGGAAGAAGGAAACAAACTGACCCGGCGGCACGAGCTGTGTACATTTCAAGTCTCTAAACACATCCTTGTTAGAATAATGAAGAAGAACACTAAAAAAATGTAAATAACCAAAATGTCTGACTGTGGATTGAAGGGTGTGGAAGCCCCGCCCCCTTCCCGTGGGTTCGCCTGTGTCTTGTTTCTACTGTAGATACGACCGTCTGTATTAGCTCTACCAAAAATGTTTGTCGTCCGAAGCACTTTTCATCTGCGAGSTCTTCGAGTTCCTCCCTCTGCTGAGAAGCCGATGGATCATCGCTCCAGTCTGCCCCACCTGTTTTGTGTTTTTCAAATATTTTCCCACCCCATTCTGGTTGTTTCCTGTGACTAAAACACACAATGAAGGACGGAAAATACTTGCACATAATTTAACTGGCATAAAGTAATATAATGCAAGCAATACCTTCCATTTCTCCGACTTCCTAAACTGCTTTTTGCTTATTTTGTTGCTCTAACAGAAGCCCCTCCCCCTTTTTTAAGGCTGTGAAATATACATTTTTAATGTTCAAATTTTTTTTTCGGTCAAATATTCATAAACTGCAGTTAATACTGTTAATTCAGGTGAGTTTAAACAAAGAGTGACAAATTAAAACAGGATGTAGAAAATATTGAAATTGTTCCTTCCGGTTGGCCTTGAACTGACGATCTTAATGTCTTTCTGAAGATCTTAAATCTTAGTGGGCAGCTTTTAAATTCTAATGGAAGAAAACCCAAAAGAAGTTAGTTCCCCCTCATCTGCTCTCCGACTTCTGTCTCAACTAAACTGTCATGAAACGGTTCGTACATCACTACAAGAACTTGTGTTTTCTGTGAATTGATTTGAATTAAATGACCACAAAGTGTCTGAGTTTCTGTGTTTTTCACGTTSGGCTGCCATGAATTTCSGTCACGATGGGAAAATGGGTTATTAAACCATCAGTGATTGATTAGTTTGTTCAAAGATGACGCTGAAAAGGGACATCAAAGAAAACTCAATTTTTAAAGAAAATGAAGAGCACTGAAGGACTGCTGTAGAAGCTTAAACTGAGTGTTGCAGCTGAAGAAGCAACTAGCTAAATGCTAAAAGCTAAAAGTAGCAAAAAGGCTAGTCAGAGGATAAAAGTAATAAAAGGTTAGCTAAAATATTTAAAGGCTTGCTAGAAGTTAAAAGTAGCAAAATGCTAACTAAAAGCTAAAAGTGACAAACGGCTTGAATAAAAACTAAAAGTAGCAGAATAGTAACTAAAAGTACTTTGATAAAGCTGACTTCAAAAGCAGTGTTTTTGATCATTTGAATATTTTATTAAAGAGATATCAATATATTTCTGTGTGAAAAACATTTGTAAACAATGTGAAATTTATTTGAAGAGTYTAGAAGTTAGAAAGCCCTAAAGTCATAGCACCAACCTCTTGAGCTGAACGTTCTGGTACATGATTGGATTTTAAAAAGGCAAAAACTGACTCAGTATTTTTCTTTTGGCATGAACAATTTCCTCATATTCAAGCACACATTGCATAACATGCCATACTCTATGCAAGGCTCTGAACAGGGAAAAAAAGAGAAAAAAAAAAACAGAAAATGTTGAAAGACCTTAAGAAAAGCCTCAATAACCATTGAACTAGACCTTTAAATTAAAGCTTAAACATGCACAATATGATATAGCCTGTATAAAATATATTTCATATATACTGTAGTATTATACATGAAATCATGCAGTGATATTTCTTGTCTGTGTGGGTGTAAAGCTGTAGTTGCAAAGCAGCTGCAGTTCTCCAGATGACCTGCAGGGGGAAGCAGTCATTCTGAGAACGGCGCATGTGCAGTTCGAAGAAGAGAAGCTTGAGACGAAGGTGGAGGAAAAAAAAATCATAGGAATACTCCTGTTTACAACAACGTAATGGAGCCCAGATGGCTGAATAACATTTGCAGACGTATGTTATGGACTGGATTTACGTTATACATCGTATTTGGTGAGTATATTAACCAAAAAATAGCTTAAAAATTATTTGACGCCTAAATTTGAGGGAATATTTTTTATGTTGGATATCAGTTTCGGCTAGCAACCTACACCCTCCCTCCAGACGGCAACATTGTTGATTAATAAGTCTTTGTTCCACGGTGCAATTAGAGCTGGTGTTAATTACACACCCAGAACCATCGTTTTTTGTGTCGGCGTTATCTTAGAAGCACGTCGCCGCTACGCTGGAAATCACAGAAAACGTTAAATCCGTCAAAAACTGAATGGAGTTTGGTGGGAAGGGTGGCAGCCGCCCTGCCGTGGGGTTTCCTGTGAAAGGTAGGAGAAAACGCAGAAAAATATCTAGATTTTCAAAACTGAAATAAAACACTAACTGATTGGATTGCTACAGGTTTTCAAACGTATAAATATAAAAACTAAGGCGTGTTTAAGTGCTTTTAACACGAGCTGTTTTGTGTTAACATACGTGTCACTCCAGGGAATAATGAATCCTTTTTAATTTAAACCTTTTTTTAAATATTTACTGTACTTTTTACCATGATGTGTTTAAATCAATGTGTGTCACCTGCAGTCATTTATTGAAACAGCTGGTGTTGTGTAATAGTTTGGCTCAGTGTCCAGAAAAAAGATAACATCTCTTATTCCTCCTCCTCTGCCCTCTTCCTGAACTAAACAGTAGTTTTACTATCAGATTATCTTGATTTATTTACTTCTATACAAAATAACATAGCCTCAGGCTATTAGTTTTAATTGGGTTGTCATTAAATAACCACATTAACGTCCAGATTAAGGTTGTAAATTTGTTAAATCAGTTTATTTCAGCTTGTACCTGAGGCTGACATGTTATTGTTGCTCTGTGCTTTGATTTTATTGTTTTAACATTTTAGCGGGTGTTAGTTTTTAAGTTGATTCATAGGGGGAAAAAACTATCTTGCAGGATTACTGGCAGGAAACTGAGCAGTATAATACAGTTTTATGATTATTTATCACACCATTGCAACAGTCCAGTTTATTTACAGTGTGAAACTGAAAACAACTCAAACCAATACTTCCTGATATTTAATTTACATCTCTTTACCCTGACCAATAGATAAATTTCATTTATCGTTGAAAGTTTTACTCTAAATCAAACATTTATGTGTCACGCTTCTATTTTCTTTTCAACCTATAGCAAAGTCATTAAGGGTTTTATTGTTAAATATGAGTAAAAATGTTAAATACAGTGTATACATGACATGCAGTAGAAATGAGCTTTAGATCTAAATATTTTTTAGGTTTTCTTTTTATTATACTTGAGCCTTCCTATTTAATATGATTTGATCATCGTGTAAGAATGTGCTTGGGGAAAACTTAGCTCAACAATATTCTGTTTTCCTCTGAGTTGGCAGATTTTAATCAAAATTTTCACAGCTTGAAATCTGAATAATTAAAGGAAAAATGTGTTGAACTTTTATTTTATCTGTAGGAGGATGTTGGAGATGCAGCTGGGTTGCAGTTAAAGAGGATGCAGCTATCAACATATGAACCATTTTTATAAATTGCTTATAAAAGTATTTGATAAATTTGTTAGAATTACAGTATGTAGATGTCATAAGTTGGCATAAGCTGTCTAAAACGTCATAGTGTGACGGCCTGTAGCTGGCAGATGGGGGTTTTGTTGTGAAGACCCCTGAAGAGGTTTTATTTAAACAGGTAGATCTCATTTAAAAATCTKTTTTCCAAAGGAGATTTAGCTGAGAATGGCAGCAACATACAACCGTTTCAGAAGCAGTTGATCAAACTCGGTTTGTGCGACAGAGAAGTGGTTTCTTGGTGCTCTCGTGAAAACCTCAGGCTGGTATCATCTGACGGGGGGGAAAAGGATGACAAGCACTTCCGTCTGTTTTTGTTGTGGGGAAACCGTCTCCTGAGTTGAAGCTGCTTTCGTTTCCGGCGCTCTGTTTCCCCCAGAGTCCGAATCTCTCGCGGTTTATTAGATAAACTTGCTGCAGAGAGTGAGAGCTTTCTGTCCTCCTGCTTATTACAAGAAGAACCTCTGAGTAAAGAAGAAAACGTCATCTGTCTGCTGCATTTATTATGTTTATTTGTTTTTAAAGTGTCTGATCTTGGTTTCAGAGGTCAAACATTCCCCCACCTGCAGCTTTTTATTAATCAGTAACATTTTCACTCAGAGCTCAACATTAATCAACTTTCTCCTGGAAGTAAGTTATTCAGTGTTTTTGCTTTGATCTTTAACAAAATAAGACTTATTAATCAGTGATTTATTTATTATTCAGTCCCAGAACAAAACAGACGTTTCTGATCATGTAAGCAAAACAGGAGCGAAAAGTTATAAAGCAAAATGGTATCCAAAGGACAAATAGCGCAAAATCGTAGCTAAAAAGTGTGAAACAATAGCTAAAAGTAGCACATGGTAGCTAAAGATTAAAGAAGCAAAATGATAGTCAATGATGTAAAATCAAAATGCAATGTAAAGGTCAAATATAACAAAACAGTAGCTAAAATGAAGAAAACAGTAATTAGATCACGCAAAACAGTAGCTAAACAAGTGGTAGCTGAAAGTTAAAAGGAGTATAACAGTAGCTAAAGGTTAAAAGGACCAAAATGGTAGGTAAATGTAAAACTAAGCAGAATGGTAGCAAAAATCTGAGTTATTAGCAGAATAGTTGCTAAATGTAGCATAAGAAAACAAAGCACATATCCCGAAGCAGATTTAGATCAAAACAAAGTGTTTTAATTTAAAAAATCTGAACATATTTCTTTTGATAAATTTCAAGTTATATAAATATCGAGTCAAGCTCCTGATCAGGTTGAATATTTTATTATGTAAACAAATAAAATTGCACAAGGTAAGTGATGTAATTTGATGTAAGCGCTGACTCAGCGTTAAACAGTGTAAACAGTGATTTATTTCCTCAGCTAATTTGTCAGATGAGTCAAAAACCGGATTTGAACCCGAGGTCGTGTCCTCTTAACCCTTTCATGAGTGATTGTACTTTTGTATTTTATAAATACGTGTCGGAGCTGAAACCTTCTACGGCTGCAGATCTTGTTTATCAAAGTTTTTCTCTTTGAGTTCGTTCCAAGTTATTGTCTTTTTACTTATGAGCCTCTGAGTTATGAGTCGCTCCAGAAAATTGTGAAATGCAGCAGCTTGATTTCATTTGGACGAAGTTTTTTTAACTTTGTTGTTGTAACTCTGCTGTTATCACAAACACAACCGTTCCTTTATTCTGAGAAAACTTCAGGAGTATTTGGAAACGGTACAGAAAAGGAAGAGATACTTTAAAAACTAAATTTATTTGTGTTATTTTTAATAAAAATAAACTGTCTTCCTTTGTCCCTCAGCTGATTCCTTTGAGGAAAAACTCACATTTTTTTTATCTGTTGTTGTTTTGGCCTCAGAAAAGTCGTAACTTGCAAGAAACGTAACAATCAAAAACTTCCTGCATCAGGTCATTGTTTGAGTTCTGGGTAGTTTTAATGCACCTGTAGAAAGTGCTAAATGTGTCTCCGCTGAGCCAAAAGAAAAGGTGCAGAACGTTTGTTTCAGTATAAACTCTGTCTGAGGAAACGGTTGCTGTTTTTGAAAACAGGAACGTCTGAAAACACCACAGAATGTTCCTGTTTCACTTTAAGAATGTGATTTATTTTTGTTTGTTTTTTACAGTGGCAGAACCGACGTCTGCCATCGAAATCCACGCCGACCCTGAGGTGATCGTTCAGAACGGCACCAAAGGAGTCCTGCGATGCACCTTCAAGTCCAGCGAGGTGGTCAGCACCTGGACCTCGGTGACCTGGAGCTTCCAGTCCAGTCAGCCTGACCACCAGTTCTCTAAAGCTCCGTACGTGGTGAGTCCCCGCCGCTCGTCTTCCTGTCATTGTTTCATCCGTCCTCCGGAGAAGTTCCTGCTCTTTGAGGTCAGTGTGACGCGACGCGCCGTTTGAGCATCGTCCTCTCGGTGTACGTGAGCGCAGTCGTCACACTGCAGGAGTAAATTAAATCGACGTCTTATGTAGGGATTAAACCATAGCTGCGTGCTTTTATTTTGACGGTTTGCTTCCACCGAGCTCAAACTTTCATTTAGTTGTGAAACTTCTGGGACATTAATGGCAACGTTTATCTGAGAAGTGTTATTAGTGAAGCTGTGGAGGAAGACGACGAGGAAGATGAGCAAATTACCAGAACTGAAGGAAAAGAGGTAAAAAACGGTTAGCATGAATGCTAATATTAAAGAAAACAGAAACTAAGAGACAGAGAGGCAACATGTTAGGTGGTAAAACATGATAGAAACATGTCCTCAGGTCCCAGCACAATGCAAGAGAAAAATAACTCAAAAACAAAACAAAACATACGTTTAACACAAACAAAGAGGTGAGATCAGTGTAAGTTCACCGTCAACAAGATGACTTCAGAACTTGGTGTTTTTCAAGTCAGCTCTTCCTGTATTTTTTTCATATCTCAACATATATCGCACATCAGTTTTTTCCCGTATTGTTCGGGTCTAATTCTGCTTCATATTTGTTATTTGAGCTACTTATTCAGCTCATTCAGGAGGTTGYTGCTGCGACCTTTGGCTTTTATCATTTTATGCTTAAAGGAACAAAACATTAACTTTATTTCCAAATATTTTCCCTTAGAAATACTTTGAGATTAACCTAATTTTACTTTTAGATTTTGCCTCCATTCTGCTAATTTAACCTTTTTAGATAGCTGTTGCCCTTTCCTGCTTTGTCTTTTAGCTAACCTTTGTTTTTAGCAGTTTTTTTTTGCTTTAAAAGCTCATCAATCATCTTTCAGTGCTCATGTAGGATTTTCAAATAAAACATGATTTTTTAAAAATAATATTTGGCCCAAAAAYGAAGGAAATTTGTGTTTGYTAAATAATTTCTTTGCTGTAACYATGCGTCTTGGCAGCCCACATACTCAGCTCTGRTGCTCATCTCACAAAAGCATGTTCCTTACAAATGTGGCTCCATTTAAAAGGGAAATTAACAAGCTTTTCAATGATGTAAGATTTATTGCCAAGACGCAATAAAAATGTTTATTTCTTTACTTTTTGTGCAAAGTATAGATGTGTTATTAAACACAGTGTTTGTTTTGAATCCCTTCACCATGACTGGACTTTTTTTTATTTTTTATTTTTATTTTTTAGCTTTTTAATTTCTAATTCATGCACAAATAGATCAAATTATTTTAGATTAATTCCTGAAGTTTCTGACACCACTTACGAACTTTTAAACAAAGATTTTAGTTTTAATCTGGACAGCTTTAAATGACGTTTGAGTTAAATYWAKAGTAAATCTGGACAGTAAAACYCAGCTGGATTGGGTCCTAAATGTTAGTAGTGTGTCGCGGTGGAATCTCGTCCCATTTTTTRACAATCTGTCTTGTTTACAGACTCGTCCGTTTGGGCGGGGGCCGCCTTGTCGGCTGTGATCTCCTGCAAATATAATGACATACCCTGAGGGGCTTTAATTTGCTGAGCAGTCATGCCAGAACAGATGCACGCAGCCAACACTAGGAGAGTGGGTTTCACAATAGGCCGGGCCGCTCGCAGAACGTTGTTTTGTTTTTTTCTCTAAATTTCAGCCCTGCTTTGTTTAGAACAAAAGTTTAACATCTAAGAAAAGAGGGCGTTTCAAAGAACTGATTTTTGATCAAATGAAAGGAGAAAGTTGTTACTGTTTGTTTTGCTTTCTAAGAAAAAAAGAAAAAAAGATTCACAGTGA